CCCCCCCGGAGAATGGCCACACTGCAATCCCTTCTCCTCCATTCTCCTCTCAGGGTCCTGGGCATGCATGCACTCACGCCCAGCATGAGGTTTAAGCCATCAGGTCCAGAATTCAAACTGCAGTCGGCTACACGGCACTCCAGTGACATAAACATTATGCTATTTGCTGGTCTTTTGAATGCTTACTATAAGCCAGGCCATCCCCTAAGGGCTTTAGATATGTCATATAATTGAATTTTGCCACTGCCCTCTTAGGTAGTTATTACCTTACCCCACATAATACAGTTGATAAAACTGAGGCTCGATGACGAGACCTAATTTGTTCAAGGTCATCCACTAGCAAGTGGCAGATCTAGGACTGAAATTCAAGCCCATGTGGCCCCAAGGCCTATTCTTTTATGCACCAGCTGTCCGCCTCACCCCCTACCTGCAGGGGGAGCTCAAGTCCCAGAGGACCGAGGAGCCGGTTGGTCCAAGGACCTGCTGTGATGACCAAGCTCTTGGCTCGGTAGCTCCTGGAGGTGGTTTTCACCAGGACTGGTAACCCTGGTTTGATCTCTATCACCTTCTCTCCATCACGCACCGTGCCTCCTCGCTGGCGAACCACGCCCTGAAAGGACAGGACAGAGGAAGGCGTGTTAGCTGTGCAAGTGGCGCACCCTGGTAGACAAAGAGCCTTCGCCGAAGGCAGAAGACAGCACAGAACCCAGAGCCCCTCTCCCACATCGTCAAGGCCAGCAGGGTCTATGGACAGCCCTGCCCCAAGGTCATGACAGGGCAGTAAGGCAGCGGCCCTCGTCCAGCAAGGGGTCCCGGAGCAGGCCGACCAAGTCCCAGGAGGCCTAGAGCAAGGCTCTGATTGGGAGCCAGACCACCTGCAGGGCTCTGAGGGCCTTGTCTGCGTAGAGAACTCCTCCACACATTTCCAGAAGTCCCACTTCTCCTCTGCTCATCCGAATATTTGGGAAACGTTGCTTCAGTTCTTCAGATGAAAGGCACTGGTGTTCCACCCGCTGCCTGGACAGAGTGGCCTGGATTGTCTTCAGTTCTGGGTTCTCCTTCATTCCCAGCAGAAGTAGTCCAGTCTGCCTGTTAAAAAATAAAAGAAAAAGAAAAAGAAAGCCATCTGGGTGAAGGTATGTGTCAGGGCCTGGGGCCGTTTGCTCCTTTTCCTCAGCAAGGATCCCAGGGCCAGGCACAGTCATGGAGGGGAGTGAGGGCCTCGCCTTCAGAGGATGGGTAGAGGCTCTAGACTCCGTCCCAAGTCAGCCGGTCGCCAGCCCAGGCCGAGTCTGCCCTGGCCTTTCACCATGTTGGTCCCACCTCGAAATCCATGCTGCTCTCCAGCACAGATCCTGAGTCCTCTTTCTTCTTTGTTAGTTTTTCTTTTCTTCCTTCCTTCCTTTTTTTTTTTTTTTAGTTTGCTAGAGGGCATATGTACCCTCCAGAAAGAGACAGAGAAAATGAGAAAGCACCCCCCCCCCAGGGGAGGCCATAGTACAATCCCTTCTCCTCCGTTCTCCTCTCAGGATTCCGGGCACACATGCGCACATGCCCAGCGTGTGCTCCAGGATGCAAACCAGGTTGTCAGTCTCATTTGATCCAGCTGCTTTAACCACCATGCCACTGGCTGGCCCTCCTAAGTCCCTTTTCATCTCCGGGAGGAACTTGCAGGAGGTCGGTGTCCGACCTGGTTCGTGAGTCTTCCCTTCCTCCTGTCACTATTCTGCTCTCTCTCTCCTCCCCGCCTGCCCGCCCCATGCCACCCTCTGCTCTGTTCCCTTCCTCTTTCCCCTTTTATGGTCATGTCCTGTTGTGGCCTTTCTTGTTGTCCGTCTGTCTCTCCGTCCCTCCTCAGAGGCCGCTCACTGTGAGAAGGGCTGGAGGCGGGAAGCCTGGCTCTGCTTCTCGTCCTGGTCTCACCTTGATGGGACCTTGGTCTGGCTTCTCACCGTTCCACGCCCAGCGTCCTCCTTGTAACACGCGCACGTTGGCCTGTGGGTGCTTCCACAGTGGGCAGCACTCCCCTCCCCCCACCCGGGGCCTGTGGAAACATCAGGGGCCATTTCTGTAGTTGTCGCAATGTCTGGGGAGGCCAGTTGCATTTAGGGGGCAGGAGTCAGGAATGCTAAGCCTGCAGTGCTGGAGAAGATTGTGCCCCAAAGGCCGATGGTGCCCTGGGGCAGTAACCCCTGTGGATGGTCTCTTTGGGCTCCAACTACAAAGTCAGCGATTCTATGATTTCTTTTCTCCCCATACCTCCCTCTAAGCTTCCCCCTCCCTAAAGGAGTGAAAGTTGTTTCTCTTTAAAGTGTCCTGCCTTTTGTCACAAGAGACTAGAGCTCCCTTGGGGAGAAACTGATCTAAACAAGGGAAGGGTCACCCGGGCCCTTGGGACCGTTGCTGTGGCCCCCCTCGGTTTCAGCAGCCACAGTGACCAGCAGCAGCCTGGTACATCCCTCAGGTACTGCATATAAAGCTCGTAATAGCCTATAATGGAGTCTCATGGATATTACATGCTTCCAAATCCCACATTATCTGGTTGGGGGGATTAAAGAGAAGATTGGGAGGGGGTAGGGACACATTGGGCCCAGGGGCTGGTGTCAGTACACAGAGCCGCGCAGCGTGCCCAATCCATTTGTCATGGCCCCCGCCTACCCAGCATTCACCACTGGTGAGATAGCGACGCGGCCCGCCGCTTCAAAGCGCAGCAGAGGAGAGATGCTGTCGAAATCCCCACTAGCCGGCAGATGGCCTTTTTTCTGTGGCCTCCACAAGGACTTCAGAGTGGTTCTCAGGTAATGAAAACTTGCCTGGCAAACTTCTTGGGCAACAAGATAATTAAGAAGTTAGCTGTATGTCCTTGAATCCTTTTTACCCCACAGGGTTCAGGTTGGATAGGATTCTGGGAAAGACCTGGCGTAATCCTCAATATTATGTCAGATCCCTGGCTCAGAAATTCCAGAGCAGAATATTCTTTTTAAAAAAATAATTATTTCTTTAATTTTATTAGTTATTATCATTTTTTAAAAACTGACCAGACAGAGAGAGAGAGAAAGGGAAAGTGAGAAATCAAGTTGCCAGGTCTGGGACTTGAACTACAGTCAAATGAGTGGGAGTCCAACACCCTAACCACCATGCCACCTGCCGGCCTCCCAGAGCAGAATATTCTAACCCCTGCCTGTAAGGTAACAGCCCTGATCTCTCATGTACTCTGAGATTTCCTTTTCCTCTTTCTGCTCTCTCCCTTTCCTTCCTTCTTTCCTTGAAATAAGAACTCCTCTTATAGAAATGCACCATATAGGAAAAATTAATCTATGCCAAGACAATGGGCAAATCTGTCGAATTATGAAATGCCGAGTGACGTTCTAATTCCCAGGCCGTGCTGTGGCGGATGAAGCGGGAACTCCCCATCCCTGGGAGTAATCAGCGAGCTGATTCCACCGGTGAATGTAATTGTGCCGATTGTAATCATTTTGCTCCAGCTCTCTGCCCCTGTGGCATTTATTCCTTAGCCCAGATATTGATCTAACAGTGGGAAATTTTCCATCTGAATCTGAGATGCTGGACCCTCCCCTGGTCCAAAGACGCGTGTGGGAAATTCTCATTTTCTATGGATCACAGCTGAGTTATTTGGCCTAAGGGAAACTGTGCACTGCTGGAGAAACGCCTTGGATTGGAGAGAGATTTTTGACCATTAAGAGCAAATCGGAAATAAATGTAAAACACTGCCTGGAAATGCAAAGGCCTGTCATTATGGGAGATAGGTGTGAGGCTCCTATGGGAAATGCTTAGAGAATTGGAAATCAGTCAATCAAAACCGGGATGGGAGAACGGGCCTTTCCCCCCAGTATGAAGATAGATGACTTCCATGGGCAGATTGAAAATCATTTAAGTGCTTATTTTCTTAATGGCTTTTCCTAGATCCCAATAAATAGGCAGCTCATTCTGCATCAATTTCTCACCCCTGTGCTCTGCCTTCCCCCCATTTTCTGCCCAGACCTCAGATACAAACTTTCAGATACAAAGTTTGGGAAGGCGAAGGGCAGGAAGAGACTAGGGCATCTGCAGGGAGAAAAACAATCCGGAAACGATTGGTAGAACTGATCTTAAAAGAAGGGCTTGGGAACCAGCAGTTAGCGTAATGGCTATGTCACTGGACTCCCATGTAGTCGACCACGGTTCACGTCCCAGACCCGGTGGCTTAAAACTCACGCCGGGCGCGTGTGCGTGCATGCCCAAGATCCCGAGAGGAGAATGGAGGAGAAGGGATTGCGGCGTGATCATCCCCCCGGGCGGTGATTTCTCTTGCTGGCGAAGGCCCGCCCCCTAAGGGGGAAAAAAAAAAAAAAACAACTCCCCAAAAAAAAAAAAAAGGGCTTGAGGGAAGCAGTTAGCGTAATGGCTATGTCGCTGGACTCCCACATAGTAGACTGCGGTTCGCATCCCGGACCCGGTGGCTTAAAACTCATGCCGGGCGCGTGGGCATGGGTGCCCAAGATCCCGAGAGGAGAATGGAGGAGAAAGGATTGTGGCGTGACCATCCCCCCTGGGGGGTGATTTCTCGCTTTCTGTCTCTCTGTCTCTGTCTGGCGAGCGCACGCGCCCTATAGCGAAAATCTCTCCAAAAAAAAAAGGGGGGGCTCGAAGGGATGCCAGGGAACCTAGAAAAGAGTGCAGCTTGCAATCCCCAGAAAGCCCATCAGCGGGGTTGAGAGCATTAGGCGTGAACTCTGCCTTCCTCCTGACCCCACTTTGATCCAGCTCTAGGAAGAGGTCATTGAAGATTCCTCCCAATGGCCTTATTGACTCCTCCACGGTCCAACTAAGGGGACACGATGTGAGGAGTTAGCGATAGAGGATTTCCACCAGCTCCCAGGGCAGGACAAAGTGCAGGATGGATCGGGGAGGAATCCAGAGGGGAAGACAGCTCTCCCTGCTTCTGCCACCACCACCCCCATCCCAGGCTCCAGTGTTTCCTCTTTGGGCTAAAAGTGCCAGTGAGCCAGAGTCACCTTGGGGAAGGGACACGGATGAAGACTGGTAATGGCTGCTGTCTTTGTTGGGTTTTGGAGGAGCTCTGTACGTTTCATCTTCCGCTCAGTGGGCCGAGGTGGAATTGGTTAACAAAGACTGCTCCAGGGAGGGGATGTGGCTGACAAGCCAGACACTTCGCAGACACAGGAAGCAGCAGCTGCGGAGGGGGCCACCAGGTTCTGCCGGCAGCTGTACTGCCTACGGCTGTGATCTTGTCTGATATTGTCAGCTAAGCAGGGGCAGCCCAGTTCAGGCGCTAGATAGGAGGGCTCAAAGGGAGAAGGCGGGGCAGGGAAGAGCCGGCCACAGAGCTGGGCTTTGCTGCTGGTGTCGGCATCCTGGCCGTGCACATCACAGAAGATTCAGACCTTGTCATCTGACACATGTGTCATTGTCCCCAGAATATATGCAAATATTCCGAGAACACCCATGTTTAGTATGCTGCTATCACAGGAGCAGAACAGAATAAAATGCATTAAACAACTACTTTCACTACCAATTCCTAAAGGTTTTTTTTTTTCTTTTAATCATCATCAAATGGCACTAAGTGCACTCCTATCTGTCAGCTATTTTATAGTTGTGTGCTGATTCTCCTAGAAGAACCTGGGGAGAAGTCAGAACCACAAAGATGGTGAATCACTTAGAAAAATCAGAATTAGGCGTAAAAGCTAAAGGAATTGGAATGGCTTTTTAGCCCAAAGGTAGAGCTGTATTGAGATATCATTCTGAGAATGGGAAGTACCTGTTCTGTGTCCCTACCAAGTATAAGAACCAAATGAATGAGCATGCCTGATAAATGAAGTTAGCCATAAGAAAGTACTTGTTAATAGTAGAACAGTAACAATGATGATAATACGCAGCACACTGTAGCACTTTAGAAGATTTTAAAGCACATTCACATTACTCTTCATTTTTCATAATTGGGGCTGTGAGGTATGGAAATGGTCGTTCAGCAGGGCTATGGTATGTGCCTGTCCTTACATGTACAGTAGCAGTCTTTTGACCTGGCATGCTTTGGGGACACAAACTTCTTTGGAGACAGGGGAATGGAA